GCCCCTGCCGTTCTCAGCAGATCGGCCCCCGCTTGCGCCCAGAGGCATCGGCAGCGCTGGGTCCTGGGAGTGCTTGGAACTAAGATGAGGACAGATATTGGTGGGGTCCATCAGAGGGAGACATTTGGCCTTCTACACACCATGCTGCCAAGCACGAATGAAAGCAGTACCTGCACTTTGCAATCCACGCTGACGGGGACCCCAGCACCAGGGCGGTAGCCTATGATCTGCAAAAACAAAAGACATCCATGCTGGTATGAAATGCAGTGCCAAGCATGTGCCGCCTCCCTTCTCCAGGGCTTAAGCTCTTCTACGTGCCAGTCGCGTTGCTCAGGCCAGGAGTTTTGTGCCCCCAGAAGCAGGGTCTGCCACCCCGTGCAGTGCCGCTCACCCGTGCCCGAGAGTGGAGGCAGAGCAGAGCATCGGGAGAGCCCAGACTCCCTGGGGCAATACAGCCACTTCCCCACACAGCTCACACCCCCCCCAACATTTATTTTCCCAGCAGCGTGCACTGAGCCACCATGCTATTAGAAGACTTCAAATAAACTCGATTCTATGAAAATTCCCATTATAAAGAGACTGGGGTCTGAGGTGTAGCCCTAAAGCTCAGCTCCTCCCACACAGGGGCCTGGCACAAGACTCTCCAAGCACTCAGGCCTCACCAAATCAAAACAAGCAAGTTTTGTGGTGTTTCTTTTTTATGTTTTCTAGCGGGTATGAGCCAGAAGGTTTTGGGATTCCAGTTCCCTTTTTCCCTGGAGGAATGGAGGAGTTTCAGTCCCTGCATGGTCTTTACTCTATCGCACTGGGATGCACTGAAGGAAGCAATTAAGACAACCGGCTTCCTCTGTACCCGGTCAGCAGGATGCAGGGCTGGCCTTTAGAGTAGCCAAACGTTGGGTCCTCAATGCCAGAGCAGTTCTGCAGCAGTGAGCGCTTGAACTGGCAGGCCTTCTTCTCCTCGCTTTCATTGCCCCCTTGGATGAAGTACTGTCCTGAGACACACTCGATGTTCTTCTCCTCTTGAACTTTGTCATCATAAGCTGGTGGGGACCAAGAGATTTGTTAACATTTCTTGAGACCTGCATAGACCCACACTCTCAGAGTACATCCACATATCAAGGGAGAAAGTCCCACCTGGAAAGGCAAGGCTCCCTCCCACAGACGCTCCTGTGACCACCTTAGGAGCCTCCCTTTCTAGACAGGGGTCGTGAGATGCCAGGAGGAGACCCCTGCACTGTGTGCGTGTGTGCGTGGATGCGAACAACTTGCCAGCCTGACTCCTGGGGTGCCTAAAAGCTTACCTGCTAGAAAGTGGCGCATGCTGTCCACGTAGGGTTGCCACGTGCTGGGCTGAGAGACATTGAAGGCAATAGTGAACCCATTCAAGTATGGTCTGATCATTACTCCTGGAGGAGGAAGCAGACCCTGTTAGAGCAGACATGGGTGGACTGGCCACAGACTTGGGGTGCATGTTGCAGGGGCTGGTTGCACTGCGGCTGGGCTTGGGGCTGGGCACAAGAGCAGCAGCACCAGCTCACAACTAAACTCTCTCCTCAACCTGGTGATCCCTCACCTCCATTTCACACCCAGAGAACGCCGTGCACATCGAAATATCCCAGGCAACATGGGAGACCGGGAGGGTCTCAGCAGCGCTGCAGGGAAGAGATGGGCTTGGGGCTGCACACAGAGGCTGAGGGGGCCCCCGTGCTCCCAGCCGCACAGCCAGCTCCAGGCAGGGAGCCGGGCGAGGGGCCTTGTGTTCCCCACCAACACGAAAACACAGGGAAAATGCTGCTTCTGTCATAGGGAAAGGAGTTTTTGAACATTATCTCGCCAGGACTCCCCCAAATAATAATGCATAAAAGCTACTCTTGATTTACATTTTATGTTGAAGATATGAGGTATAAAGGAGCAGCAACTGAAATGAATGGGCATCACCTATGAAACGCCTAAACTTGCTCATTTACCTTGAGACTAATCAGCATATAATTAGCATAATTAGATTAGCAATTATTATAATTAGAATGACTGCTTCACATGGGGCTATTTAAGATGCCTGATCCTTTGCAGAGAAGCTGCAGCACTGTCAGTGCCCTGAGGTAAGCGATAACACCCAGTGTTATGGAGGGCTGCCTGACCGTAGGAGTGTACAGCCCCAGCAGGGCTTTACCCGCAGTCCCTGCCATGCCATTTTGGTAGCACTTTGCTGGGCGAGTGCCAGCAGAGGTGCCCGAGGCTGGGCCAGCGGGGGTACCTACCTGGCGGAGACACGCGGTCCCGGTACGTGGGCGTGTAGGGGCTCAGCGTGAGCAGCATCACGTACATGCAAAAGGCAAACATTCCCGCCAGGCACGTGTAGAAGATGAAGTAAAACAGTAAGATCAAGCCTGCAAAAGAGAGAGGGCATGTTGCTGTTAACGCAACCAGAGCACGTCCCCTGGGCTGTGTCCCACGGGGATGCACAGCCACGCTCAGCATGGCGTCCTCTGCAGCTGAGTCCATCATGGTGGTGGGAGCTCGCAGCCCCCCTCCGCACACAGACCCTGGCATTTTTGGGTGCAGGACTCAGCCAGACACACTCCCTTGCCCGGGGCTAGGGCAGCTGCCTTTTGGCTCTGTACCCCTTTCTGCTGCATGGCTCTTCCCAGAGCTGGGTCAGGACCGGGTCCATGTGTCTGCCTGCCCCGGCTCTCTCCAACAGACAGACCCAACCTTGGCTCTTGCCCTTCCCACCCGCTCCTGGCATGGTCACACACAAGGGTAACCAGTGGCTTCAGCATGTCCAAATTCCCGATGAGGGCTGTGGGGCGATGCTCCTGCCCCGACTCCTGTCACCTGTGCGGCAGGGACCCCAGCGCTGGGACTGGAGTGAGCGGCATCACTTGGGGGCTGCGGCACCGCTGCCCGTTTCACAGCCCTGCCATCCAAGGAATGGGTTTGTTTTTCCTCTGGACCAGGCTGACGGCTGAGGATGTCTCAAGAGGCCACGGCCTATGAATAAAACCCAGCAGCTCAGAAAGCAAAGTGAAGCCCTAACCCAAACATTTCCCAGGAGAAACGTGCAGGCAGCTCGGAGGGAGCCCTGGGAACACAGATGTGCGCTCCTGACGTGCTTCTGCCGGGACCACGGTGCTGGGAACAACTGCAGGGCCGTGTCCTGCTGTGGGCCGAGCCGGGGTGGATGGGACCGTCACCGCTGCTGGTGGCACAGCAGGGACAATGTCCAGCCCTCCACAGTGATGCTGGGACGGTGCCTCTGCACCAGCCTGGCGGTTGCCGCTGGGGTGTCGAGCCGATGTTTGTTGGGACGCGGTGCTGCTATCGTTCCTGTTCTTATGTTTCCTACAATGCAGCAGGAAGCATTGTCACCGGCAGAGCCGGAGGTGCAGCCTTTCCCAGGGGCTGGGGCCCCCAGTGGTGGCCCTGTGGCCAGCCAGCTCCCTGCATTTTGGCAGCACAAGTCCCCTGAGCCCCGCCATCCCTGGGGAACACCTTCAGGGCCAGCACAGGCTGGGCAAACTCCTTCCTCCTCACCCATAAGATGAGAGCAGGAAAGTTCAGCTGCATTCACCTCCAAATACTCTCATTTTAAAAGAAAATTTGATTTTCACAGTAGCTTCAATGCTTCTTTCCTGCCCCCGTGTACAGGCACGAGAGCACACACGTGTGCAGCCAGGGGTATGTGTGTCCATAGGGCAGCGGGGCCGTATAGCTCACCATGATGCTCCCAGGGCGCAGGAGGACACTGCACCCTCCTCGAGGCTGTAGATAAATAACTTCCAGCAGCAGCCAGCCCGGGCCACGTGCACACCAGCCTGAGCAAGCCCTCTCACGGGGCTTTTCTCAGCACCTGGAAGAGCCTCCAGAGACCCAAACCCACATCTCTAAGGACTGTCACCCCCGTACCATTCCCACACTCCAGTCTGCGCCTTCCCATCCAGCCCATGGCCGGAAAAGGGCACGGGGGAGAAAATGTGGATTTCAAGGCCTGCCCTAGACTCACGCTTGCGGGTTTTCCACCCCCTCCAGCGCTCGTGGGCAGTTGCCTTTGTTTCTCCTGGCTGTCCCTGCAGGCTTTGCAGGAGACCCAGAGCGCTTGGCGGGGGCAACGGCAGGCTGCGGGGCTTGCGAGCGCTTTGCCAGTGCCAGCTGGCCAAGGGCTGCAAATGCTGAGCAGCAGCCCCTGATAATTTGCAGCCTTATGCTGGTGCTGATGTGCACATGATGCTGGGCTAAGGTTGGGGATTTTCACTCTGCTGCGGGGGCTATGCCCTGTCAGGAGAACAGAGCTGCAAAGGTAGACAGCATCGCATGCTGTGGCACCTTGGTCTCGGACTGAGCTTGCAGCAGTGCTCGCCCCGCAGCTGTGGGCTGCTTTTAACCACCCGGGGCACCTCCAGGCTCAGCGATAATTTTTGGAGGCCACATGGATACAGATAAAATAGGCAGGGCGCTCAGAACCCTCACTGGCACATCCCAGCCCACCAGCCCCGACAGCACATGCGGGCTCTGCTGTGGGCACCACGTCACATTCCGGGAAGCTGCAGGGCGACGGCGATGACCAGCCCTTCCCACCCCAGAGACAGGGTGCACACAGGCAAGGAGGGCTGCTCGGCCCTGCGGTGTGCACCCTCCCCGAAATGCCTGCCGCGTGACTCGGGCGCTCTTCTCCACCACCACCGATGACCCCAAAGCCACCTCCCCATGGGCTCCTGACCAATACAGGCAGGAGCCAGGTCGCTGGCAGCAGCAGGGGTGTGTGGCTGTGGCAGACTGACCTGCAGCCCCTGCGCTTGCTGGGGCTCTTAATTTCTTCCCAGTACAGAGTCTGGGCAGCCCAAAATCTTTGCTTTCATATTCTCAGTAAACATTAATATCCAGACCAAGGGCAACTTTCCCAAGGTTTCCTGCTTGTCCTCCTCGCTAGTTCTTTATTGCACTATTTAGAAACATCTACCCTGAAAACGTGGGATGGGGGTGGTCAGTCCAAGCTATCAAGGACCTTCACAGGCAAGTGCATCCATCGTGAAGCAGAAAAGGCAACGATCACCGAAAGCAGGGCTTGAGCAAGGACCTACCCCAGCTCTTGGCCGTTCTCCCCAGGCACGTTCTCTCCTCTGGGTTCCACAGGAACATCTTCATCTCCCCAGCCAGGTCTGCCCAGGTTTTGTTCCCCATCTCTGCCTTGGTCTTGTCCTCCGCTCTGTCAGGATCCTGGACCTTCTCCGCGTGCTTATTTTCCTGGAAGAGTTACAGAACACAACCCCCACATGCAAGCTGAACATCTCATTGGCCAAAAATAAATGCAAAAGCACTTAATAGCTGGAAATGTTTCAAATTTCCATTTTCCCATCATCACTCTTGAGTTAGAGAGAGGCAGTTTTGGCTGTTCTGACTTAAGATCGCTTAGATCCCAGCATCCATTTTTCCATGACACGTACATCATTGCCGTCACACAGGGTACTGTCTCCTTGTCCTGGCATTTACAGAAACTCATCTTTTTCCACCTGCGTGAACATGACCAAAGAAAACCTATGATCTGGGGGAGGGCCAGGGCTGTTCCCACGCTTCTACAACGTCTCCGAGCTCAAGTGCATGTTTTCTGTGCTACCACAGATGACAGCAGGCAGCATTATTTAAGAGGCCATCCCGTTTGTTTTTCTTGGCATGTGAGCAAGTGTTTAGTCTTTGGAGAAATCCCTGTGTTGTTATTTTTTTAATTACATGAAGTTCCAGGGAAAAGCATCTCCCCAGGCGGCGAGAGTTTGCTTTGTGCCTCAGTGGTGAAAACTCATTTGTCTGGAGCGCGGGAACACAGATCTCTCTGTAGCTGCACCTGGCCAAGAGTCGCTTGAGACAAGACACGGCAGCCATCCCTAACGCCCCTTGAACCTGGGCAGGCTCTACTGTCCTGGTTTCGGCTGGGATAGAGTTAATTTTC